CTCCTTCCTTCCTTTCTTTTTTTCTTCATGAGAGTCAAGTCTGGGACTTGAACTTGGTACCTGACACTTTCGCTCATTGGGTAGCACTCTACAAGCCACGGCTCCAAACTCCCCCTATCCATTTTTACTGCTACGCCTGTTTGATTGCAATCCTGCACATGGACATTTCTCCCCAGCCATTTAGAGGTCATTGTGTAGCCATCTTTGCCTAGGACTTGAGAGCTCTGCACTCTTCGGAATCTAATCTGGAGATGTTAGAACTGGAGTGGTATAAGAACAACGATAGCTGACATGGGTGGCGACTCCGGAGGCTGAGATCTGAGGATCGTGGTTCAAAGCCAGCCTGGGCAGGAAGGTCTGTGAGACACTTATCTCCAATTAACTACCAAAAACAAAACAAAACAAAAAACAACCAGAAGTGGAGCTGTGGCTCCTGTGGTAGAGCGCTAACCTTGAGCACCAAAGCTCAGGGATAGAGGCCATTCCTTGAGTTCAAGTCCCATGACCAACACACACACACACACACACACACACACACACACACACACACATGCGCATGTGTGAACAGCAGACATCTCACATGCAGCTTGTTTTCTTTCCTCAGCTTCTCCTGGCCCTGAAGCTTCTTCCCTTCCCCAGGAAGAAAACCCAAGACATCAACTGATGGCACTTAGGCTTCTAACCGCCCAGCCCCAGGTAAGCTTCTCACCTTCTCTGCTTCCTGGGTGTAGCTTTCCAATTGCTGTCCAAAGTGCCATGCCCTTCCTTGTACAGGGCTGTCCTGTACAGGGCTCCTATCTCTAATTTAGGATCCAAGCTATTAGCGATTCTTTCCTTAGGCTCTCTCTCTCTCTCTCTCTCTTGTTTTGTCCCTCATGGGCCTTGAACTCAGAAACTGGGCACTGGCCCTGATTTCTTTTGCTCAAGGCTAGCGCTCTACCACTTTGACCCACAGCTCCACTTCCAGTTTTCTAGTAGTTCATTGGAGATAAATGTCTCATACCCTTTCCTGCCTGGGCTGGCTTTGAACCATGATCCTCAGATCTCAGCCTCCTGAGTAACTAGGACGACAGACACGAGCCACCAGTGACCAGCTCCCTGAGGCCTCTTCTATCTCCTGATGTCTGTTGCCTTCCTCATGGCCTTAGAATGTACCCTTGCCCCGAACTGAGAAGAATCTTGCAGTAAGGGAGCTCAGGGCACTGAGCTCCTTTAACTAGAATGGGAAACGATGACTGGGTACGGGGAGGCAATAGCTAAGCCAAGTGTTTCTCAGAAGGCAGATTCCCAGAAAGGCACATCAAAGAGACTTCAAACAACAATTCCCCACATCCCTGGCGTTGAGGCTGAGCGTGAATGGCCGCTGTTGACCACTCAGTGGGGAAATGAAATGCCAGCATGGGCAGACATGGTAAAGAAAGATCTCTGTGGAAGAGATCAGAAGAACAGAACCCCACGCGCCCACAGAGGCCCAAAGCGGAAGGAATTGCAACACTTCACTTCCGGTTCAGCCATGTCCGAAAGCTTCCCAGGAAAGGAAGATCCAAAGTCATATCCGAGTAACATCTGTGATAAACCGTTGAACAAAATCTCCCAGCTTCTCAACCGCCCAAGGGTCCACACCCGGGAGAAGCCATACAAATGCAAAGAATGCGGGAAGGCCTTTAACGACCACTCTGGCCTCCTCCTCCATCTGCGCCGCCATTCTGGAGAAAGACCTTACAAGTGTGACGAATGCAGCCAGGTATTCTCCCAGAATGCCTACCTCGTGGGCCACCAGAGGCTGCACGGGGGCGAGGAGCCATACCAATGTAACAAGGGCCAGAAAGCTTTCATCCTCAAAAAGAGTCTCACCCTGCACCAGAGAATCCACTCCGGGGAGAAACCCCCCAGGTGCCAGAAGTGTGGGAAAGTATTCATCCTGAAAAAGAGCCTCACCCTCCATCAACGATTCCACACCGGGGAGAATCTGTACAGCTGCCAAGCCTGTGGCTGGACCACCAGAGACTCCATAATGGAGAGAAGCCCTACGAATGTGGTGAGTGTGGGAAAACCTTCATCACGAGCAAGAGCTTCACAGTCCACCAGAAACTGCACACCCAGGAGCAGGCCTACAAATGTGAAGACTGTGGAAAAGCCTTCAGCTACAACTCCAGTCTGCTTGTCCACTGGCGGATCCCCACGGGAGGAAAACCATTCAAGTGCAACGAGTGTGGAAAAGCATTCAGTTCCAACAGGAACCTCACCGAGCACAAGAGGATCCACAGCGGGGGGAAGCCGTACCAGTGTGGCAAAAGCTTCATCCTGAAGAAGAGTCTCCTCAGGCACCAGAGAATTCACATGAGGGAGAAATCGTACCAATGCCACGAATGTGGGAAAATCTTCAGTTATTGCTCCAACCTGACTGCCCATCAGAGAATTCTCCACACGGGTGAGAAATCCTACGCATGCGCCGAGTGTGGGAAGGGATTTACATACAACAGAAACCTCACTGAACACCAGAGCCTCCACAGTGGGGGGAAAAAAACCTACCAATGTCACCTATGTCACAAAGTCCTCACTTCTAGAAGAATGGGAGTGTGGAAAGACTTCAGTTAGAATAAAAACCTCGTGGTGCATCAGAGAAGGCACATCGTGGGGAGAGACCTTATGAGTGTGAGAAATGCAAGAAATCATTCACCTCGAAGAGGAACCACGTGGGAGAGAAAGCCTGTGGGCGTAATGATCGGAGTAAAGTGTGCAGGCCAAGAAATAGCCTTTGCAAACATCAGAAAGCTCATTTAGAGGAAAAGCCTCGTGGGTGCAGTGACTCTGCTAATGTGTTCTCTCAGACTTCAAATGTCCATCTGCAAGCAAAAAGCCATACTGTGGAGGAAATCTCTTGGCTACAAAATGCCAGTGAATCTAAGGTAGATATTCAGAAAATCTAGTGTAGGGATGGGTATGTAGCTCAGTGGTAGAATATACTTGCCCAGAATGTACAAGTTCCTGAGGTTTGATCCTCAGCACCACACAAAAAAAGAAGGATCTAGTGTTATATGTAAAATGAAATATACCCTGCTTTATTAACTGTTGGTGAAATGATATTTAGTTCCAAAAGGAAAAAAAATGCAATCAACTTTTTTTTTTTTTTGTCATGGGGCTTGAACTCTGGACCTTGGCACTGTCCCTCAGCTCTTCAGCTCAAGGCAAGCACTTGAGTCACAACACCATTTCTGGTTTTCTGGTGATTCATTGGAGATAAGAGTCTCATGGACTTTCCTGCCCAGGCTGGCTTTGAACCGCAATCCTCAGATCTCAGCCTCCTGAGTAGCTAGGATTACAGGTGTGAACCACTGGCACCCAGCCAATCAACTTATTTATAGACAAATTGGAGGAAGTGATGTACACTTCATTGTCTTGGAAAATGCAATCCAAATTGTGGTTTTATACATATATATGTATATATATACATATATTGTATATATACATATATATACAATACATATATATTGTATATATATGTATATATATACAATATATACATGTATATATACATATATATATATATATATATATATATATATATATATATATATATATATATTGTGCCTCAGGGCCTAGGTTCTGTTTTGGAGCTTTATCCACTCCAGGCTAGCTTTCTATCACTTGAGCCACAGCTCTCCTGGCTTTCTTGGGTGGTTCATTAGAGATAAGAGTCTCACGGACTTTGCTGACTGGGCTGGCTTTGAACCAGGATCCTCAGGTCTCAACCTCCTGAGTAGCTAGAATGACAGGCATGAGCCACAGACACCTGGCCTGGTTAAAGGATATTTATTACAGGCCCTTTACTGTGACACTGGAAAAGAGAGCAGCTGAAAACCCTGAGGAAACTGAGCTTGTGTCTTACAAAATGTAATGGTGTCCTTGTCAATGATAGCAAAAATAGCGTTTGGATTAAGAAGCCAATGTTTCTGAAAATACATATATTGAACATCTTAAAGAAAATGTCACTGCGACAGAAAATCTATATGGACAGTGTGATCTGTCCATATAAACAGATCATAGCGATTGAGTGCGTAAGAGTCTAGTGTTTGAAAACAACCTAAGAAGCTCGCTGGATTAAGAATCCCAAGACATGGGTTCCAGTTCTGACTCTTTGCCTTATTACATGACATTATTTTTTTTTTTGGGGGTCTGGTCGTGGGACCTGAACTCTGGGCCTGGGCACTGTCCCTCAGCTCTTCAGCTCAAGGCTAGTGCTCTACCACTTGAGCCACAGCACCACTTCCGGCTTTTTTCTTTTTGCTTATGTGGTGCTGAGGAATCGAACCCAGGTTACATGACATTATTAAATCCACCACTTAGTCTGGTTTCTCTGTCAGTCAAATGTGGACAGATATCTACCTCAGAGGGTTGTTGTGGGAGCTCAGTGAACGTATTTACAGAAGTACTTTATGAACTGGTTTGTCAATAAAGTTCCCTAAAAGAGGTTTGCCCAAAGTCTAGAACATGGTATTATGCAGGCTCATTAATTCCATTGATAAAGAATGCAGAATTCCATTCATCTTAGATATTTTCTCCCCACCCCCTCCCAGGTCTAGGGCTTGAACTCAGGGCCTGAGCTTTTGCCCTCAAAGGCTAGTGCTCTACCACTTGAGCCACACCACCACTTTCAGCTTATTTTGCTGGTTCATCGAAGATAAGAGTCTCACTAACTTTCCTGCCCAGGCTGACTTTGAACTGCAGTTCTCAGATCTCAGCCTCCTGAGTAGCTAGGATTACAGGTGTGAGCCACTGCTCATTTGTAAGTTTCATTTGTCCTATAATGCTTGAGGACTACAAATACCTGTGTATCAGGATTGCATCTTCTGACTGGTTGATAGTATGTTGTTATAATAAACTAACAAACTACTTGATTATTGATTTTATAATAAATGTTAGTATGTCAACCCTAAGGCTCCTGAAGGCTAGTTCTTCATTAGATTAGGAGGTATCCTACAGTGAGGGAAAAGCTGAAGAGCCTGAAGATCTTAAAGTATTAATACTTTCTTCCCCTTACTTGGGACAAATCATTTCTTAGTTTCCTTTTTTTTTTTCTGCCAGTTCTGGGGCTTGAACTCCTGGCCTGGGCACTGTCCCTGAGCTTCTTTTGCTCCAGGCTAGCACTTTATCACTTGAATCACAGAGCCACTTCCAGCTTTTTCTGTGTGTGTGGTACTGAGGAATCGAACCCAGGGCTTCATGCATGCAAGGCAAACACTCTACCACTGAGCCAGCTTCCCAGCCCTCTAAGAGATTCTTTTCTCCAGTTAACCAGCAGAATGCCAGAATGGAAGATATGACTCAAGTGGCAGAGTGCTAACTTTGAGTGAAAGATGCTATTTAGGAGTGAAATGCCTTCAAGCCTCAAACCCTGGTACTAGCACACACACAGAATCAACCCAGATTATGTAATGGAGAAAGCTGGCATTTACCTCATTAACCAATTAACAAAAGTGTAGAATGATAAAAGCCCACATAATATGTAATGTGATATGTGATGTAATGAGCCGAAAAATTTGCCTTCAACTTAGGTTTTGTAGACCTAATTAATCACCAGTTTATAGGAACAGAAAACAGCAGAGAAACATGATAAATGGCCACATGAAACCCAAGCACCAGTAGCTCACACCTGTAATCCTAGCTCCTCAGGCAGATGAGATTTGAGGATTACAATTCCAAGTCAGCCGGATCAGGAAAGTCTGTGAGACTGTTGCTTCCAATGAACGACAAGGAAAACCAGAAGTGGAGCTCATGCTTAAAGTCCTAGCTACTCAGGAGGCTGAGATCTGAGGATTGAGGTTCAAAACTAGCCCAGGCAGAAAAGTAGGAGACTCTTTATCACCAATGAAGTGGCAAAAGGCTGGAAATAGAGCTGTGGCTCAAAGTGGTAGAGCATTAGTCTTGAACAAGCTCAGGGCCTGAGTTCAAACACCAGAACCATCACACACACAGACACACACACACACGTACAAAGAGTGAATGGAGTAGTGTTTGGAAGAACTTAAAAGATACCTAGAAGTAGACTCACAAACTGATTTTTTAAAATTTTTGTCGGTTGTGAGGCTTGAACTCTGGGCCTGGGCACTGTCCCTGAACTCTTCAGCTCAAGGCAAGGGCTCTATCACTTGAGCCACAGCGTCACTTCTGTTTTCTAGGTGGTTTATTGGAGATAAAAGTCTCATGGACTTTCCTGCCAAGGCTGGCTTTGAACCGCAATTCTCAGATCTCAGCCTTCTGAGTAGCTAGGATGACAGGGGTAAGCCACTAGGGCCTGGGCTTGATTTTTGTTTCTGTTTTTAGCCTGACCTCCATGCCTCTCCACCCTACCATTCTCGTCTCCTTTTGTGCCCAGATCAGAACAGAGAGATTCAATTCCACACAGTAAACGAGCTCCACAGCACCCACTGGTGGTTTTGGTAAGGAGGGGGGAGGTAACCATCGAGAGGAAAGCACCTCCGAGATTCCTAGAGAGACTGGATGGTGTGGAGGTGGGGGCGGGCCCGGCGAGGAGAGCCGGAAGTTGGAGCCGGAGGTACTTCCTGTCCGGTCATTGTTCTCGCGCGGGCGGGAGTAGCGGGTGCCGGTGACCTCCGCCGTCCCGGGCTGGGCGTCCAGGTGAGCGCGCCGTGTCGCCTGGATGGATGGGGA